TTGTCTTATTCCATTGGCACAGTGTTGCAGTTACCTCCTTAATTCAAGAAAAAATGCACTTAATTTAAGAAAAAATAACTTATTGAGATTTACATTTGTTTGCAGTGTTGCATCTTATTTTTTGTATTCGTTTCCCACCTTTTCATGTTTAGGCGACATAATACTCTGCCTTCCCTTCTTTTATTCAAACTCTTGACAGTTAAGCTGCAGTTCAGTATTTCAGAGCCTTTCTAGAGCCCAACATCATAGACGGGCCCCATGTTGTACCTTTGATTGGCTGCTGGGGTTGTCCAGGACAAAAGAGGCCTTGGTGGCTTCAGGGTAAGCCCCAGCTTTGTACAGGGACTGGGCGTAGTACAGCTTGTACTCCTCCACCTCTGGGTGCAGCTGGGTGAGCTGTTCATAGCACTCTGCTGCGCTGCTGAAGTCCTGGATGTGATAATAGCAGAAACCCAGCAGAGACAGAGCCGCCCTGGACTGAGAGAGAAACAAAACCATACAGGCATTCAGAGAGAAACAGGAAGCTCTGTAATGTTTGACCAGAATCTCTTAAATCTCACAAACAATGAGATTAATCCTCTTAATTAACCGAGAACCTTGAGAACCCCCTAAAAATACATATAAATACTTCAGTATTAGTTTGTATTTATTTATACTTTAACAGTTTGCAGTTTCTCAGACTCACCTTGGTGTGTTTCTGAAGTTGGCCGTTTAGAAGCTGGATAGCCTCCACATACTGGCAGTCTCTAATCTACACAAAATAAAACAAGCAGACAGGTCTGGGTGACGTAATATCTACCGACAGGTTTAATAATAAGCCAAAAAAATGAAAAGAAAATAATTTAGAAACAATTAAAGTATCAATCATCATTATAATCATATAAATCTAATGGAACATTTACAGAAATGAGAGCCATAATTAGGACAAATTAAATGAACTTCTGTTTTCCCCAGTATTTATTTTTTCCTAATTTAATGAAGCAGCTGCGTCGCTGCTAATGTAGCCGTTTGACCAAGAAGCTAATTTCTGTCCAAGCAGCGAACTTCTCACCAGGCCGTAGATGGTCGCCGTGTGTTCTCCATCTTTAATCGCTGTCATGGCTTCCAGAAAACAGCTTCAGACTCATCAAACTTCTCGCTTTTCCTCCTAAAGCGGAGTTGTTTATCATAGCATCGGTGCTAGCTTGGATTCAGAGGACTGGGAAGGAATGCATAGGAGCTGTTACCTAGCAACGAGGTAGACCGGAAAAAGATAATAACGGGCGTCTGCAGCAGCCAATCAGGTAACAGACTTATATTGTAAGCTCAGCCCCCAACTGCACATCAACCAATGGGATGTTGGTTGTTTTTTATAAAAAGCCGTTATAAGATAAAGAGTAAAAAATAGTGGTTATATTACATTGGTATGTAAATAACTGTTATCTGTAATTATTAAGTAGGATTTTAATACATTATAAGTTCAAGTTTTAATTAATTCTCATTATATAATTGAGTATATATATATATATATATATATATATATACACAGACATATATATATGAAAGCTCTGACATATAATCACTTATATATAATAATAATAATAATAATAAATCTAATTTGTACCGCACTTTTCATTAACAAAAATCTCAAAGTGCTAGGGAATATATTTACTTGAGTATTTTT